GAGGGCCGATATTCTTCCAGTACGGTCCCGAGCAAGCTTGGTTAATAAGAGATTTATTATACGACTGAAGTTCAAAGCGACACAAGTGCAGTATCATTCTAGACCATTCGGGACAGTGCCCGGTCCAATACTTAGAGAATATTGGACCGGCAATAGAGCATTTTGATTGGTTGATTTTAGTTATTGGCCCTCTGACTGCCCGAGTCGTGTAATAATAATATATATTGACCTTTACAAAGTTTCTAAAGTTTTGCGAGAAAATAATCTATCTTTATGGGTTTCTTTCAATCTTTTCGTTTCTTAACTAACTAGATCTATAAATTTGAGCTGTATCGAGCTTCGTCAATTATTTACTTACGATGTTTTAACCGAGTGCCGTAAACTTCGCGAAGACCAGGGCCATTACGAAACAGAGTTCCTTGCAAATCTTTCGGTATTTCACCGACAATATCTGCTTTTGGAATCCAGTAGCAGTGTTCTCTTTGAGTTTCCCAGCCTCTCTTGCATTTTTCGAGGTCTAGAGGCCGTCGAATGTTGCCACAAAGAGTGTCCACATCGGTCGACATATTTCAAGAACGCCATCAACGCGATCCGTTGCATTTATGCTCTCTTGTTGTAGATATATCCTCTGACGTAATGTGATACAATGGCCAATCACATCCTCTGATCTATAGAGCGGCACGCGGCTTGGGACTGGTTAAGAGACTCCGTTGCAGTTATGTCTTCAAGCAAATGTGCTCATTCAAGGGGGTCGCGATAAGTAGAAAATTTGACACGTATGAGTAACTTCCAACTGATCTCAGGAAAACACGCTGTTAACAATCTCTCACATTACTTTCCTTGAAGTTCTATCGCTCCTTCGTTAACGCCGTGCGATCGCATCGTTCTTCTAATCTAAAAACGTCCTAAACGTGGAAGAGCAACTTGCTACGTTAATAACAAAGCGACTTTTGACGAAAGGATGCGTTATTGTTCACCCTTTATTTGCAGTCTTGCTTTATTTACAGACGTCATTGTTCGACTTGTGACTTCAATGACAACATTTTACCCATATCACAATTGTTTTATTTTCTTTAATAGTTGAAGATCATAGATTATGGTTCGTCGGCATAAAATTATATATTTTTGACGCTTCGCTGATCTGCCGGAGGTGAGATCGACTGAGAGGTCAAAGTTGTGATAATTTGTCTGCGTCACGAAGTCTTCCTTCAATCACAGAAGTTTGGCCTTCAGTTGTTTATTTC